CAATCATTTTAAACATACCGAATCAACAACTATTTTACACCACCCCCGCTAGCATTTTCCGCGGCCCGCCCAGCCATTTGAACAAGCGAACCTCACCAAGCGGGGGGTGAAAAGTCAGGCCTAAAAACAAATGTGTGGAACCTTGAAACGTGGACGAAAAGACCCTGAAATGTGGGCCTTCTGTCAAGCCTGGTATGTGGATATTTGGAGGAATGTAGAACCTGGAAAATGCAAGGACACTTCAAAGTGGACTCTGCGATCGACGTTGAACAAGCAGGGAGGGGTGAGGAGCCCTCGCTGTGGACCCTGAAAGGACAATGGAGATGTGTGGATTCTGTCTGGGCCCTTGAAATGTGGAGGCTGGAGGGCCGAGGGGCTTGAAACTTGGACCCTTGAAGTGTGGAGGGTGTCTTGAACATGGACTGTGGAGGTGCCTGAGGGCCTGAGGGCCTCATGCACCTGTGGAAACGACCCTGCAAAACTTGGAGGCCTAAGTTGGAGTTCACCAAGCGGTGCCAAGAAAACCTGGCGTTTTATACTACCTCTGATGGCCACGCCCCGAGCCCGCCCTGACACTTTAAACAAGCGGATTAAATAGGAATGATATATATTATACCTCCGACGCCTTCGGCTCTCCGGACCGCCCTCTACTTATTTATTTGTAGGCACCGTAGTGTCTTGCATTTGCCCTGGACGTTTCAGCACGATTCTGTTGATTCAGCGTCCCTTTATTTCGTGGTTTGGGCTGGTGCTTTGGAGGTTCTGGGGCAGCTTCCCATTTCCCGCAAGAGCCAGGGGTTCAAACCCCTCAACCAATCCAAACTACCAATCCAAACTACCGCCTAGGGGAAACCTGATTCTTCTTGTTCGCCTCCAATCCAAGAGCCCCAAGAGCAGTGAGCTGGCTTCATGTGCCACAAAGACAGGCAATTAGTTCTTAAGTCTGGGCATCTCACACTCCCCGCGTGCTCAAATGGAAGGTTGTCTTCCATTTGCAGGCCCCTGCGGAACAACAAAGAGAAAAAAGACAACGACAACATGTTCTTCCAGTATCTGAGTAGTGATGGAGTCCAGTTGAAATCAAGCAGTGGGAAGCAAAAAACATGGTCTGCTGCAAATGGAAGCAAGTTATGCTCTCACCTGAGGGTTGGGAATTTAGCTCGGCAAACCCCTCCTTCGGCATCTCCATGGACTCATCACCCTCGCCCGCCTTTCGCGGCCACGCGTTCCCCCTGCAAGATCTGGCTCCGCAAAAGCTCCGTTCAATCCCTGGCCGAATGCTAAGGCCCTAAGATTCTAAGATGTCAAAAAGGAAAGCCAAAGGAAACCGTCCCACGGAACTTCGAAGGCCACAGCGCCAAAGGAGCTTGCCGTACACGACAAGCCGACCCATTTGCCTGGCCCGCGTCTTCGTCGCTGGTTTGCACCGCGGCCGCCGACAAAGCGACGGAGGCTTCTGGCACCTGCGATCCGTGCGAAGCATTTGTTTGCTGGTGCTCAGAGGGAATGAGGGAATGAGCCCAGGGATTCCCTTAAAGGCAACCACCAGTTGGATGGATGTTCCACCAGAAAAGCTGCCACTCAGGGTCCAAAGCACAGGGGCTAGACTCTTGTTCTTCAGCCCGCCTGCACGGCAAAGTCCACACGCGAAATCTCAGGCTCCAAAGCTTCGTGCCCGGCCTGCGGCGCCAGCGAGATCGACCCCCCACACCCAAGGGACGGTTCCCAGGTTTTCAATGGATCGAGCCCCAGTGAAGCCCCCTGGTTGACAAATCGTGGTGGCGGGGGGGGGGGGTGCACCTCAAGAGTCTTCCCCAAAGGAAAGAAAGGCGGGTGCAGTGGCAGGGTCCCTAAATGTCCCTCTGTGCCTCCAAAAGCAGCGCGTGTGTGTTGAATTTCATAACTGTGGGCCGGGGTACTGTAGCGCACCCCGCATTTGTCGAATCAAAATTCCTTTCGTGGCTTACGCAGTCTGGCAAGGGGAAGGATGGCCCTGCCCATATACTGGAGGATCGTGGTCCGTCTGAAGCAGGGTTCGGGCATGCGTCGCCTTCAAACATTTAGAGCGGCCCAACACTACCTCAGCTTTCCCGCCTCCAAGCAAAGCTATCATGTCTGGTTTTCTTGATTCTTAAGCCCTCCCCAACCCACCCTAAACCCATGCCAAAGCCGCCCAACACCGACCTCAAACCCACCCTAAACCGACCTCAAATCCACCCCAAACAAAGGTCTAATCAGAACAGCCCCAGCGACAAGTTTGTTTTTGAAGCCTAACAAGTTGTTGTTTGATGCCACAGGTTGCTTTCTTGTTACGTACTGTGTTTTACAGCAAAATGCGGGCCAATAAGCTATCGCTTGATGCTTTCTTGGCGCCCCCCCCCCCCCCTTGCGTGGGAGCAAGCACAAACAACGGCATCAGGCAGCTGTTGCTTCCTCATTTCCTCCCTCACTCCCTCACTCCCTCATTCCTTCCTTCCTTCCTTCCTTCCTTCCTTCCTTCCTTCCTTCCGTCCTTCGTCCTTCCGTCCTTCCGTCCTTCCGTCCTTCCGTCCTTCCGTCCTTCCGTCCTTCCGTCCTTCCGTCCTTCCGTCCTTCCGTCCTTCCGTCCTTCCGTGCTTCCGTGCTTCCGTGCTTCCGTGCTTCCGTGCTTCCGTGCTTCCGTGCTTCCGTGCTTCCGTGCTTCCGTGCTTCCGTCCTTCCGTCCTTCCGTCCTTCCGTCCTTCCGTCCTTCCGTCCTTCCGTCCTTCCGTCCTTCCGTCCTTCCGTCCTTCCGTCCTCCCTCCCTCCCTCCCTCCCTCCCTCGTGACCTATCAGCTCCTGGAAGACTTTTCTGAGTGCAGGGCTGCTGCGTCAGCCTGTCGTTCCGGCCTGGAAAGGCGTGCTTTCTGTTTCGCTCGCAAACGGAAAAAAGGAAAAGCCGCAGCAAATTTGGCGGTGGCTCAAAAATTGATACCCAAAAACTTGCCCCCTTCATAAATGGAAACAAAGACTAACACCAGCGCTTTGCCCTAGCCTTTGAATCCCTTTTCTCGAAGCTCTAACATGAGACTAGCCTTATGAGGGATCATATGATCCCCCAAAATACGTAGTATTTAATTCTGGTGGTTCCCTGTAAGGGTGGATTGATGAGCCCCATCAATATTTGCGTACTTCTCTTAGGGAATCCTGGCAAAGGGAACCCTGATGGACCTCAAAGATAGTGTGATTTGCCAAAGGGAGCTGGAAAACAACGGGAAACCACAAGGTCATCGGATTGCGTCGGGTTAAGCAAGTGAGGTGTGTCTTTTAATATGCAGGGGCAGCCAGAAGGACAAAAACGCTATGTTCTAGGCGTTGGCTCCCCTTTCCTATCAACCACCGTCCTTTCCAAGCGCCAGCTTCTTCCTCTAATTCTGTTGTTTTTTTCCCCCAGGTAGCTGAAAGGGGGGGTTGCTTTTGGAGGTGCTGGTGTGCAAGCACTGCTATCTGGGGTCTATGCTGGTGTAATTGTTTTTTGCTGGAAGGAAGGTTGCCTGGAAAGAATGGGGAAGCTACCCCTAGACATTTTTTGTTAGTCCGCGTTCCCTTTCGTCTTGGCGGCCCCACGCTTCGGCCACGCCCGGCAAAGCGAAAGCCTCCAGCTCCTGGCAGAATCGGAGGCGAAGCCTCCAGGTGTTGTTTCCCAAACGGCCGTGGCTCAAAAAACCGGCACCAAAATCAACCCTGGTAACCACCCTGGTAAGTGGAAACATGGACCAAAACCTGCGGTTTGCCCCTCCGGTTTAATTTTGAGCCACACCCCAATGGCTTGGTCTTCTTTAGGGGACTCCAACGAAAACTGTCGTGTTTGCTGTTGGTCTCCCCGAAGGAGGAACAAAAAAAAACACCACAAAGTGGCTCCCCTAAAAGACACACCCAACTGTTTATGGCTGCTTAAAATCATGCTTTTTCTGTGTGGTTTCCCCCCCCCCCAAAAAAAAAGAAGAAAAACATGCCCTCTTTGGCTTCTGTGAGTTTTGGCGGTGTTTTGAGGATAAGGCCCACCTACCTCCGAGAAAAGACAAACCCAAGGCCAAAGCAGTCCCGTAAAGCCGATCCTTCGGCCTTTGTGTAGGAAAACAGCAACCAACTGCAAAACAGCGCTGCTCTCTCGACGCAAATCAAGGTAAACGTTTTGATGCTGGCTCAAGCTCAGCCGCAACAGGACGGCCAGATAACGACATCCCTTTTTTTAAGCAAGAGGTTTGCAAAAAACACACACACACACACACGAATGCACAAAGACCCAAACACACAAACACACTTGTGTGGACAGCATTGTGCAGAACAAAGTCTCCCACAAGCATTACTCTGAATGGGGGGATCCTCCAAGTCATTGGTGGCCGAACGGCCATGCAGCTAGGCTGACGGCATTTGTTTCCCCCACTGCGCCGAATGTGTGAACATTCCGCCAGGTGAAAGCAGGCCAGCCACATAGCAGCTGAAGGCGAATTCATTGCAAGCTGTGCACAGTCGGAACTGTGCAGCCCTATGCATTGGCCCAAGAACACTTTTGCTGCAGCCCCGGTTGTAATTCACACGCCCCTGCTCCCCAGCTGCTGTTCAATGGCTTCGTGGTTGGTTTGCATCGTCCGAGCGGGCAAATGCCACTGACTACGCACATTTCAAGAGCTCCCGCTGAACTGCGGAGCTCCCTTCACTGATTCACGCCGCGAAAGCCATGCGCTTTCGCAAAAAACTCGGCCATGCCGTCTGCCACGGAGGGACAAAAAACATCGAGCACCCGGACATCCACCCCAGCCCCAAGGAATGAAAGCAGGGCGGGGTCTCTTGTTGTCATTGACACGACGCACTGACCAACTTTCAATAGATCCCGAACAATGGCTTAATGTTGACCCAGGATTGATTAATAAACCCGTCCCATTATTAGGGGGGTGTTCCCTCCAAAAGTGATAAATCTCCATTAAAAGGGGACACCCCCCTATTAATCAACCAGGGCCTGTAACCAGGGGTTTATTAATCCGGGGTTAACATTATCACGTGCATCAGATTTCATCGGGTAAGTTGGTTCTGATCTGTGCAGGATTCCCCCAGCCTTGCGAACTCCGGTGCCCTTTTTATGCGCGACCTTCTCATCGCCACGGGGTGTCAGGCATAACAGACCAGTCCGCCTCGGCTGAAGGCAGTCCCCGTCCCCGGAAAAAGAAACCGCTCTCGAAAAAGGGGGGATTCATTCATTCCCCATGAGAAAGAGGCCCCGGAAAAATGCACCTGGACCCTCAAACCAAACAACCCATCTTTAAGGCTAGCTTGAGGGTTCTTGTGATGGCAGCTTCATGTTGGTTCATCTTGGATGGACAGGAGAAGGTAGAATCCACCTTTGCATCTCTACATCACTCACCCATTTCCCCGCTGCCTTCGCCCGCAGTAACTTGTCCAATGCCAAAAAGGATACCTCCAAACACACCCGTCTTTGAAGATTGGTCTCTCAAAATAGGGGAACTACCCCCCTCCCCCCCCTCAAAAAAAAGCACAACAACCACAAACAACAAGTGTGCGTGTGTGTGTGTGTGTGTGTGTGTTCTCTTTTTGGGCTTCCTTTCAAAAAACAGGAGCCACCACCAAGGCTCCCCCTAAAACACGCCCCGCCCACTCCCCGGCCCCACGTCGGCCGCCGCGTCCGCCGCCGCGGCGCCGTGAGCTCCTCGGTCTGCTCCGGCCGCGCCGTGGAGCCGGAACGGCGCCAGGCCACGGGAGAAGGCGCCAGGTCCTCCAGGCCTGAAGCCAAGCTTTGAGGGTCGCGTGAGTGGATGGCCCAAAAAGCTCTGAGTGGATGACCCGAAAAGTCTGCGTGGATGGCCTTTAAAAAGGTCTGAACTTGTTCTTTACCACTCAAATGGTGTTCTGAAAAAGTATATAAAGTCCATGAACTCCCGAAGCGACTGCCCTCTCGCCAAATAACATGGAACCTGACGTTCTGGACCCGGTCCCTCTAAACAGGAAAATGCAATGAATCAAATGGGGGACAACGACCAACAAGGCCTTCCTTTTGAGTGCCCTGAGAGGCGCACTTTTTGACTTGGACTTTGAACATCTGAGGCCAATCCATTTTCGTCGCTTGCTCAACACTTGGCCAATCCACTCGATCGGAAATGCTTTTGGTGCCTTTTCGTCCTGTGCTTGCCCTCCCACCAATCAACATGGAACCTGACAGGGTTCGGGGGTCCATAGGATACCCCTCCCCCTGTGGTTCCATGAGGTTGGGGCCCATGTGAAAAACACCGGCGGCATGCGCAACTCACTTCTGCAGGCTACAAGTTATAACCCTGGTTACATATGGGAAAATTGGGGTTGGACATATGACTTGCTAAGTGGGTTGAACATCCAAGAACCCCCTCCCCTGCAGAGTACCATGGAACCGAGTTTGTCCCATCCTGACCTTACTCCACACACACACACACACCCGCGCGCGCGCACGCACGCACGCACGCACGCGCGCGCGCGCGCACGCACGCACGCACGCACGCACGCACACACGCGGGGCTAGGGAAAGTGTCTGTGGATCTTGCATCGCAAGCATAACACAATTGCCTGCTGCTCGCAGAAACCCAAAGTCCACTATTTTACCCAAATGCCAAACCCCCAAGCGCTTTCGGGAAATATACGCACTAGAGAATGGAACTAAAAGTGGAAATGAAACCACCAGGGTCACAATTTCCAGAATATCCCAGCTTAAACTTCTTGTAGGGTAATTCCGAGAGGTGGAACTCCGGGATCTTCGACCTAGGCGCAACTATGGCTATATGTCCGCAGGGCGGTTCCGGGGATTTTTTCATCTAACCCACCTGGACCCTACTACCTTCAACTGTCAAAGGGCATCGCTCCAAGACTCACCGATTTCCCCGATGTTTGCTGCCGCTTTAAGCAACTCACGTCCGGATGCATCCGGGATCGCTTCCGTGCTTGGTGGTTTGGATTGATCAAGTGGGCTCCCATTCTCTGCAAGAACCAAGGGTTCAAATCTCCAAGCCACTGGAATCCCAACCGAAATTTCAGGGTGACCTGATCTAAAAGGGGACACCATGCTAATCAAACCCGGGTTCCCCATTACAAAGTGGTTTCCAAAGACCCTCGGAGCCTCTCCGAGGTCCAAGAAGTGGATAAACCGCCATGGAAACTTTCTCACTTAGGGCCGCCAGCGTCTAAGATGGTGTCCACCGCACTACTTTGAGGGGTTTAATGGGTAGTGGGGGTACTGGAAGCCATCTTAGAGTCTTAGAGGGTGAAAAAGCAAATGGAACCCCCAATCAACCACATTTGGACATTCTTTTAAAGACCTGGAACCACCTCAAAAGTGGCTTGGCACAACTACGGAAGCTGACGTGACCAACTCGATCGCACCCGCCTTCGCTGGCCTCGGGCGACCGCAGCAAGGCCCCAGACACGCGGTGTGTGGGCAGCGCAGTCTGCGGCACCCGGCGGCTGCGCTTGCGCTCCGGCGTGTGGAAGGGCGTCTGAAGACGAGGCTTCGAGGGTCTGAGGGTCTGAGGGTTCGAGGGTCTGAGCTCGGGGGAAGTCACCAACCCGGACAGCTTTGAGCTTGCCCGGGCTGGCCTCAGATGTCCCGCTGAAAGTGGCTAACTTTTAGTGGGCTAATGGAAACTACCACTAAACACTAAAAGGCTAAACAGCACAGGAAGCGGATGGCTGGGAGCCAACAAGTTGCATCTGGTCTAGCTAGCCCAGCAAGCATCCTTTCGCTTCGCTTCGAAGAATATTCCGAAGAGACCAGCAGAACGATGAAGCTTTCTCCCCCAAACACACGCCTGCACATGGAGCCTCAGAAAAGGAAGCTGTCCAAAAAGAGATATTTCAAGAAGTCATCGTTGTTTGGGGTTTCCTCTCAACCTGCAGGGAAGTCACGTAATTAACCTTTTGGGGCAATCAATGCACCAAACACGGAACATTCAAAAGGTTCTAGGTGCGGATTTGAGCAACGGAGACAACCGCACCGCTAGGGTTAAAATGGGAACTCGGTACAGTAAGGCTTTGATTATGCCTTCTGTTTTCTGTCTCCTCTTTGGGCTGGCTGAATCTGAAGGCATTTCCGCACCCAACGCATGTTGAAAGAAGGACCGACTGAGCCGAAACCCCAAAGAATATGAAGTTCACCGCTCTCCTGCCAATGGCGTTGGGCATTTCCAAGTGAACAGTTGTGTTTGGCCCAGGTGAAGGTCTCGGGTCCCTTTCAGCGAACTGGAGGTCTCGGACACCCACAAGCTTGGTGGGTTGCTCATGTTCTTCCCGGACAGAATGCAAAGCAACAGATGGATGGCGGCAAAGGGAGTAAAACCCATCGAAACCAGTGCCATCCATGTTTTGTTTCACCAAGCTAAAAAAGGCATGTTTTAACCAAGCTAACCCAAAAAGGACACCTAGAAGCCCGGGGTATGCAACCTGACTCTGCTCTGCCAGACATCGCCATACTTGCCTCCTCTCGGCGCCTGGCCGCAAGCAGCGGCGTCACGATGTCCTGGGACCCCACACATGAGAAAATGGGGGGGGGGCCGGAAATTGGGGGAGGGGGGGGGGGGGGAAATTAGGGTGGGGGGGAATTGTGGAGGGGGGGGATTTGGGAGGGGGGGAATTTGGGTGAGGGAAGGTGAATGGGGAGGGGGGGGGGTCGCACACCCTTAAACGTACGAACTACCACCAGTGCTGCTCCAAGTTGCACAAATGATGTTGGCATTTACTTGGTGGATGTTGACCCCTGCACAGAGAATGGCCCTGTTGCTCATTACAGGACACACAAACATATGTTCAATTGACAAAAACGGTGAAAGGCCCAACAGAAACTTATCATAATTGAAATTTGGCAGGGTGCCCAGTGTTGATACGCACGTGGAAACGACCTTGCCCAAAGGACCTGGAACGGTGATCACCGACAAGACATACCACAATTTGAAAACTGGGTCGAACAAGGTCGGCCAAACCAACACCAAGGTTCACAAGAAAATCAACAATTGAAGGTCCCATTCTGCGACAAATCAAGCAACCAATGCTTGTGCTTGTGGTTTCCATTTAATTTAGGGCCTTGACACCCAACAGGAAAGCAAGACCAAACCAAATTGTGGCACGTGTTCAAAATTGGGGACCCCCCCAACGAAAAAGGCTTTCCTTTGGGTGTCCCTTGACACCACAAACACACACATATATATATATATATATACATACACATATAATTGCTAGAGTTATAGTCCTGAGGTGGGTGCATACTTCCCACGTTTTGCATCCGAGTCTCCCGGGGCAGTGTGAGGTCCGCGTGCGCGGAGAGGCCGAGGCGGCGCTTCTCCACCACGGAGTTGGTCATCTGCACCCGAAGCTTTCCTTCGATTCATAAAATGTCCGGTGGCAACGCCTGCAACATGTCCCACCCAGCACACCCCAACCGCTGCTGGTGAGATTTTGGACATGGGAAAGCCAGCTGTTGGCGAGATTGGATTCTATTTCCTATTTAGTCTACCCGGTGCGCAATAGTTTTGGAGACCCCAGAGACTGGCCTGAAGAAAACCAAAGCCACCCCCATGTGGGCTGAAAGGAAACAACCAGGTGCCTCTGAATATTTCAGACACAAACAAAAATAAAGTCGTGGGGGTTGTGTTTAAAGGGAAGCCAACGCCGAGTTTCCACCAAACCACATGCCAAAGGAACAATTGCTTCGACCAATCTGTACCCTTCAAGGGTCACCTGGGCTGCTTAATAGATGCGCTTTTAAATTATGTCACCTACGTATCTAAGCCGATTCCAAGCGGGAAGCCATTGCAGCCAAGTAGTGAGTGCTCTTAGCCAGCGAAGGCAGTGGCCCTTTCTTAGATTCTTCGGCTGGTTTCCAGCAGCAAGGGAAGCCATGGCAAACTCTGGGTGACAGCTGGTGCCCAAAAAGCGCGATGAAGGACCAGAAAACCCACACCCCTTTGAGGGTTGTAGTGCAAACCAACCCGGAAGGCAGGTAACTTTTAACCCCTTTGTCCGATTCCCGGCCAGAAATCGGTGCGTCAAGAATGGCGTCTATTCCTGGGGTGCATGGTAGCTATGGAATCGAGTCACATGGCGCAGGGCCGAAATCACCTTCCCAAAGATCCCCTGGGTGCATGAATGTGACGTCCTCGTTTGAAGGGGAACCTCAAACGAGGTTTTGAGGACCCCTCTACATGTTCACAGGCCCAAAACAGGCCAGCCACGGTTGGCAGGGTCTTTAAGGAGCTGGTTTCTAGGTGCAGCCAAGCTTCTCTGCGGGGCCTGCGCAAGGCATAAAGGCCAAAGCAACTGAGTCCAACATGCGATAGTCTCAACATCGTCCTTTTACTTCTTTGTGTATTATTTGTGTTGCTATGTTGGTTTGGTGTTGGCTGTGTGGTGAAAAAGGGGCACTCAACTTAAAACCATGTTGCCCTGCGCAGAAAAAAAAAAAAAAAAACAGGCACTTTCCCAAGCCCAAAGCCAGAGCTCATGTGCCTGGAACCCTCTGTCTGAGAAACCAGCTGCAGGCTGCAGGAAGTTCCATGATCAAGTAGACTTTGAGATCATGACAAATCAAGATGCAACCAGCCATTTAGCATCCAAAACACGTTTCAACAGGGAACGGCCCCAACATTGTGTTTCTCCAGAGAAACTCATTAAGCAAAAAAAAGCAGCTGCCTCTTGCGGCTATATTTCCCAATTGGGAAGCTGGCAGAAATCAGTCACATGGGGATTCATGTCAGTTGTCCCATTGCTTTCAAGGCCGTCTTCAAACCCCGCCGAAAGGACACGGCCCCTTGATCGTTGCAAGCCCAAACATATCCGATTAGCCGCGGGAGCCGAATCAGTCACTAGTGAAAGTTAGTTAGCTAGTAAAAGAACCATCTTCCCACGGCCCTGGCTCGGCTTGGTGACCGAAGACGATTGGCCCCCGAAAAGAATTCCAAGGGGTTACAAGCTCGGCTTTTCAACAAACCTACATTGACCTACTCCCCTACAGCTTAGCATGAAAAGGATCAGACTTTTAGCGGAATCCCAGTCAGTTTGAGAGATGAGCCCGTGGACATTTGCAGGTTGGACAGGGACGGTTGGCTCGAAATGACCCCCGCCTGAATCAACTGCTGGATGGACCCCTCCAGGTTGGTCATTTTGGTCCTGCCGAATACAGCCGAATCGCCCGATGGAAGGAATTGTGGCAGTCTATGATGAATACGTATACGTGAAAATGCATATTAATAAGTAAGCACATATGCAAATAAACAAACCAAAAAATATGAAGGTAAATAGACAAACAAGTAAATAAGAAAATGAATAAACACACAACTAAAGAAAACACAATACAATAATAAGGACTGATACGATGCAATATGAAAACATAAGCAAGTATAATGCGTGCAGTGTTCGCTGTATCTACCTTGACCCTAAACACTACCCTTGAGAACGGATATTGCTTGCCAGGATAGGCAATGTTCAGTGGTTGAGGGGGGCAGTTAGAGGGTCCAGAAATCTTTGTAGTTGTTCATTGGTTTGCATCTAGTTTTTGTCCACACATTCCTCACTCGTAACAGACCTGCAGCCAAGGGATCACCCTTCAAAATGATCGGAAAGGGATTGAGAGGCTGCTAATGTCAACTTCGGATTCATTGGAGTTCCGTACTAGTCAGAGGTGGTTCCCCACGTTGCGGCAATGATCCATTTTAGGAGCTGCCCTCGAACAAGTCAGATCCTCCGCCGCAAATGCACCGAATTACCCTCTTCGCTGAACCTGACTCCAGGTACCTTGAAAAACCCTCTCGTTTTAAAGGGCTTGACAAATCTTGCGATCCTTTCTTGCAAGTCGGGGTTGCTGCTCCAGCAACTGGACCCATCAAACTACACCCTAAAGTTGATATCAGATATCACCCCAACAGTTTGGGGCAATGACAACTTTCACAGGAAGTTTGAGGGTCCAAGCACATACCCGGAGCGCCACCCTGAAACTCCGTTTGCGTAATTTCCCCCGTTTAGCGGTTTGAAGATCCACAGGCCCCATCATTCTACCATGATCAAAGTCACCCCCGAAGTGGTGGGGTAAAGGGAAACAACCACATTCACTCACTTTGATAACCACAAGGAACAGTGAAAATGATGTCCCAAGTTCCAGGAAATAATTTTAGAAAAACCGGGATTTTGGAGCCTCCGCCTGGGACTCTTTGGGAAGCCCTCACAGAAGTGGCATCACAGAAGTGAACCAAAAACAAATCCCGCAAGCGGGCAATAACAGGTGGTCATACGGGTTTGTGTTTCTCTCTCTCTCTCTCCCTCTCTTGTGTTGCCATCGTGTATACGATTTTGTTGGGGGCATCCTGTTTGGATAGTTTAAAACAAAGCCAAAACGAGACATGCCCATTTTGCGGGCTCCCGCCGCCATCGCTGACAATTGCAATGGTTGAAAGTCCGCAGGACACAAGATCCGATCGATTCGACTGAAGCTGGTTGGATGCCTTCCAGTGGCGCCACCCTCAAACCTTGGACGTCGGACATGGCCCCAACCCGCAAGCATTGCTGTGCAATTCACGAGTCATCGCAATAGGTGACTTATCGTGCCGTGGGCACGAAACCAGCAACATCGCCACGACAGGACACTAGTCTTTCGTTAGCCGCTTACATGGGTCTGTCTTTTATTGAAGGTCCCTTTTGTGGCTTTTAAAGGGCAACCACCAGGAAAACCACATTTGAAGGGTTCCAACCCCCCCCCCAAGAAAAAAGTCGTATTCTTATGCAAATTTCTCGAAGGAACTGAATCCTTTCGAAGGCATCCCTTATGGTTCCTAAAAAATGCCTAGCGAAGTGCGAAGCCGCGCCTGCGGTTGGCCTCGCTGCCCGGCGTGGGTGGCAGGGAGTCAGAGGCCAAGAGCCGCTTCCTGCGGAAGCAAACGCAAGCGTCGCAAAACCTGAGGGGGTGGGCGGGCGGGTGGGTGGGTGGGTGGGTGGGTGGCCTTCATGGGCTGGGGGGGAAGAGGGGGGGGCCTCAACAAGGCCTCCTCCTCCTTTCCCAGCCAGCCCCCATGATCCCTAGTAGCAAGAAGTGCATAAAATAATTGACAACTCTCTATGTTTGGGAAAGAACAGCTACCCCTTTTGAAACGACCGTGGCTTTGAACCGGCTTTTCCAACAAATGTTTGAAGGCTGGAGCCTCCAACCACTACCCTCAGGCATTGAATATTGACCAAAGTGCACGGGCCGATTTCACCAGCGGCCCGGTTCGGGCTCCACCTCGAAAGGGGAAGGTGAGAAGTGAATTGGACATCACCACATCAGCCTATGGTTTGGCTGTCGCGGTCCGGGAAATCGAGAGAGGCCACTCATAAGTGGCAGCCTAAGGGCCTAAAACTGTGGGAAGCAGCCACCACTTTTAGGGTTCAGGGCTGGGACCAGTCAAAGCATCACCCAAGTACCAGCTGATAGATCTAGAGGATTGCCCTGAACACTCTCAGGCGATTCCGATCAGGGACTTTGATCTCTTGGCAATTGGCAACTTCCGTGGCCAAAGGGACAGGGTATCCCACCGGAAAAGGGTCCCCGGAGTTCAACGGTGGTGTCCAAGCTACTTTGGGCATCTTACTGGAGCAAACAAAAACACCGGAGTTCAACATGAAGCTTCCTGGAGGAATGAAACCCTTTCGGGCGTTAGGCCTAAGGGAAAACCTGGGCGTGTCTTAAACAACACCCCCAAAAATCTGTGGTTTCCTCTTCCCGTGAGAAAACAAGAAAAAGAAAACAACACCATGGCCTCAAGAAAATGGGACATCCACACCCATCAGGGAAACACAAAACTAGGTCCTCCAGCAAAGAGGCTGAATCAGGGTACCCTTTTTTTTCTGTAGTCTATTTTAGTAGGGGAACCCTCCCCCAAAAAAAGGGCAAAGGGCACTACTGGGGGACCTAGAAAAGGAAAGGCCCGCTGTAGGCATCCCGACTCTCCCACTGTCCCGTCCTGGGCTTGGCTGCTAGTCCCAGCAGCTGCCGGGCCTTCTGCTCGTCCTCTGAGTCGATGGGGCAGCCGCAGTAGTGCTCCAAGGTCTCAAAAGACACGAGCGACCCACCAAACAACCCACCCACCAACCAAACAACCAAGCAAACAACCCACCCACCAACCCACCAACCAACCAACCAACCAACCAACCAGTGAGATTGGGGCGCACCTGGTGGACATGGAAGCTTAGTTCAAATCTAAGTGAAGCTCTGACTTGGTCAACATTGAACCTGAACATGTTCATTGTTTAGTCTCGTGGGCAAAGATGTATGGCCCCCAAGTTGACCCAGGTTTACTCCCCGGAAAGTCCAAAAGGGGCCTTTCAACGCCGCTGGCAGTCTCAAGAAAGACTGACATGCAAACCCGAACCCCGGACGTTTGTGAAGGAAACTGCTTCGCGTTTGGGTTCCATGTGAATCTGCACGTCCCAACGTGGTCAACTCAACCCGTCCGTCCGTCCCTGAATAGCCGGATCCCTTGCAAGGGTTCTGGCGGGTTCTCGACGGGATTGACGGCCCACCTCCCAGTCTGGCCTTTTCCAAAGGAGCGAACGGCTGGAATCCGAAAGGCTTTTCAACAGTGCAAGGAATTGATCAGGCAGATGCCACCGATTCTTGTCTGGGGACTGTTCCCTCACCGCCCCTCAAAAAAGGGGACCACATGGGCTTAGTGTGGAACCTCGAGTGCGTCAAACCGTGGGGAGAAAGGCCCTGGCGAAACCCTTGGAGCTCAACTCAATACGCCCTGGCCAAGTGGGCATACCCAGAATGGGCATATCCAAACATACCTGCCAGGTCATTCGTGGGATATGTTCCTTTGGGCTAGAACCTTCCCTGCCAGCGGATGTCCGGCTTAAAGCTGCATGTCCATCGGGATGAGGCTGACCCACAAGCATGGGCCTTTGAACGAAACGAGGCCCGTCGGGAGGGCCTCTTCCAAATACTTCATCTGGATATCACGCACGTAGAGAGGCAGAAGCTGCTGGTCAATGAACTGCCCGAACGTGGGCAGCAGCAAAGGATCCTTGGCAGAGTCTTGGCTCACTCTCAATCCAAGAAACCAGCTACGGGACATTCTCTAAAGCAAGGAGCTTATAACAGGCTTCATAATATATGCATTTAGCCTATGGTCAAAGGAAATTTAGAAGGACCGGAAGTAAGTAATTGAGCTAGCTCTTCTAGGAGTGCGTGCAACTGCGCGTGATCTTTAAGACGAGGTGAAAGGCGCGTGAAAAAGCCGCGAAAAGAGCTGAAAACACAAGAACTGGGGAATAGACATGGACTGAACACGTGCCCGGGTGCGTGAACTCAGCCCTTGCGTATCTGTGGAAATCGCGGCAACGTCTGGGCGGACACAATCTCGGAGCGGGTGCGGAGCCGGGCCCAGCGGCGGGCCATTGGCGTGGCCCGCTGCACGTTTTGTTTCGCAACCATCCAATGGTGAAAACAGGCGGACTTTGGGTGGGTTGATCTTAAAAACTTAGGTTTTGGCTTTTTGACTGCGGGTGAGATTTGCACTCCTGTCCACCAACATGGAACCCACCAGACGGCCTCTTTAAGAGGAACAAGAATAGATGGCCCTGGCAAATGGAATAAAACCAATCATACCAGTGCCATCTATTTCTATTAAAACTACGCTAAAACGGACACCTACTGCGGATGGACGAAATCCTGCACCACCTAAGAAACCCGGGAATGATGATTCCCCTGTAAATGCCAACAAGCACTGGTTTTCCATGGGTTCAATCTGGTGCAGGATTCCGTCCATCCACAGTATGTCCTCGACTAAAACCCACGATGCATCGGTCACGGGGCCAACCGCTTTCTTTCTCTCGTCGAGGTGCCAGGGTGCCATCCTCTAATACGCCAGGCTGGTCCGCGCCTGCCATTGGAACCAATGGAAGAACCAACTCCCGGCTTCGTATGAAGGAAGGCCTTGTCTGAGCTTGAGGACATAAAGCAAAAGAAAAAAAGAGGCCCACAACAGGGCTAGTATTAGTCTCAATGTGTGCCTCAGTTGCTTCTACCCTACGTAAAGTCAGTATGGGTGGGATGCTATATGAGCCGGTTTGCCATGTGTTCGGCCAACCGCCTCTGCCACATTTTGGGACCAAGGGGCTCCGAACAAGGGGGAGAGTTCTCGAGAGAACTCAATAGGTTGCTCAATGAAACCCAAGTGGGTTTGGGGCTTCCCATCAAACCAGCCAGCGTCCCATGGGGCAGGGCTACACCCGCAGGTCTTATGGGCGAGCGTTGTTCCGCGTTGCCTGGTAAGTGCCGTTCCTTCCCTCATGAGGGCAGCCCAACATCCTTTAGTTTCTTGTTGACTTACCCAGTGGATCCATTTACTTGTTTTGCAGGTAAACAAGGGAACCACCATGTGCAAACCAAAAGGACGATAAAAAAAAGAAAGCTGGTTACCTACTTTTAGGATGACTGGGATCCCGTGGGAGAAGTGAATCAAGTCAATCAAACGAGGTGTCCCTCCCCCGAAAGGGCCTGGAGCCTCAGCCTTAAACATATGCGGTATCAGGCTGATAGAATCCATCATCTGATAAAGAAGAAGAAAACAGCTGAACTGGCACCCACCTGAAGCGACCAAGCAGCAAAACCAGACTAAAAGCGAAACAAGCAAATCACCGCTGCTAAGCCCTCTGGAATGCCAACTGGTGTGTGCGGAACCTTGTATGTGAAACCTATCGAACCCCAACAAGACGTGAGCCTCCCGGATATTGCCTCGAAATTGCAAGAGTCTCTTCCCATTGTTCAGAGTAGTTGGAGAGTCTGGGCAACATGGCTTCTTGACAGGAAGCTCAAGTTTCACCTTCCCCGTACTTGGTTGTTTGGTGGATAGGGGGTGGTTTCCCATTACCCTCCAACCCACCAATTGGGGGTAACCTAAAAGTTGAAATGGCCCAGGTGGCTGTTTAAACCCAAGGCGAAACTAAGAAACCCCAATCCCACCCCCCCAACGCGCAAAGGAGGAATACAGACACCACCATGGAACCTCTTCGAGCGCGTGAAAGCCTTTCAATGGCCTCGTGCTTTCGCTTCCCCTTGTAGCTCCTCCATCTCCGCCTGTGCCCGGCCAAGCGCTTAGTTTGCCGTGCCTTTTTCTTGGGTCTTGGGGTTGCGTTTCAGGGAGCCAACAAGGAAAACCAACATCCATGTCATGGAATGTGTGTCCCCCCATTTTGGACACATCCTTACATTTGCCATGGTCAAGTCCGGTGCGGTTCCCTCTCTAGAGACCTTCGAGTTGGTCATCTAGACTCTTCAAAGCACCACTCTGGTGCTACTGAGGCCTTATTCGCAAAACGGTGCCTCCTTTTTTGCCGCATAAGGGTTAGTGCCAAAATGGGAGGATTGCCCAGCTCCACTGGGCAGCTCCCCTCAGCAGCTGATGGGAGTAGGATTGATGCCACTCCCACAGCGAGGGAGGAATCCTCCCACCTCACCGGATGCCCTCCCGGCATCATGGGTGAGGAAGGAAAGTAGCGAAGATCAGTGTGATCAATTCGCTTTCGACTGAGGGGAAGACCCGGTTCTCAGTCGGAAATTGCGGGTCCGGATGAGTAAGTTCATCCGCCCACGTGTTAAAGTCGCGCTTCACATGCGACGGCCCCAACATGACCTGCTGGTCATGCAGCGTTAACACAATTTCCATGAGGATGGCCGCATTGGGCATCCTGCGAGTGGAATCGTTAAGAAGGGAGAAAACATTTCCCTGGTTATCACTAGCAACCAGGATCCTAGTGTGAGAAGCCGAGCCGGCTGCACAAAGCAGAACGGCCCTCACCAAAAGGAGGAGGCCGAAGAGCTCCAAGGCCGCTATCGCCCGCTGCGGGTCCCCAGTAGTGAAGGCCCACGGCTCGCCCTCCGGTGTGATTCTGTGCTGGAACCACTTCACACGGGACTTGTCGGGGTTGGGCACGTCCGAGCACCAACCACCAACCCATGCATGGTCTGCCTGTCTGCCAGCTCCCGCATCAGATGCCCCCGTCCATGGGAGTGTGGGAGCAAACGGAGATGCCAGTGGGAACCTCTGGTTGAAGAGTCTCCCCAAAAGGATGGCCAGAGCACGAACCAGCTTCGGTGGCCTGCCCGAAGTGGTGCAGGCCTTCTTCCAGCTCCAAAAGGGCTGGAGGAAAGGTTTCGTCAATGGGCATGCCGAAGTAGCCCATTGAATACGGCCTAGGGCTTGTTCCACCTCCTTGCTGGTGAAGATGTCCCCCTGGGCCAGCCGTTTAAGAGTGGCCAGGATTATGACGTGTTTGACTGGAGCCAGCAGTACACAGGGCGTGATTGGGTCCACCACAAAGCCCAACCAGGTATTGATCGGGGAGAGCGCCGTCTTTTTCCAGGAAAGCGGGACTCCCAGCGCCAGCAGTGTAGCCAGGATGGCTGTGGCGTCCCAGTCCGCCCGGCTGCATCTGAGGACCCAGCAGTAGTCGTCCACAAAGACTAAGTGCCAGTCCACCTGAGGGAAGATGTAGTACAAGAGTCTGAGCACCAAGGATGCCTTTCTTCCCCAGTACAGTTGTGCCGAGGCCATGCCGTACGTGCCCACTCTGTTGACCCACCACCGGTTTTGGATGCAGGCCACCTGGTATTTCCAGTCTTTCGGGAGCACTTTTATACGCCTGTGGGCCTTGGTGACATCCGCCTTGAGGATGATGAAGGTTTCCCCCTGTGTCGGCGGCTGCCACATCAGGGGTTCCCCCCTGATCCCCCCAGGGCGTTCCGTGCCCGGGGGGGTTGGGGGGAAGGGGGCCCTCCTATCAGGGCCCTCGGCACCTGGGAGTGGTCCCTTCCCTGAGGGTGTCGACCCCAGAGAGACGTCCAGGCCGCCGGAGGTATCCATCATCCCCCTGCCCCGATCAGGCCCCTCGGCCCTGGGGGGCAGGCTGGTGCTGTGGGGGTCCCTCTCAGGGCCCTCGGCACCTGGGGACTGCCCCTGCACCGGCTGGTGAACATCCCGAGGTCTCTCCTCAGTGCTCGAGAGCGTGGCTCGAAGTAGATGGGGATGGTCCGTCGCTGTCCTGAGCCAGTGGATGGCGTGGAGGCAGTCTCCAACCATCGGTGCAGTGGTCTTCTCCCCCGTATGAGCCTGGATGTGTGCGTTTGCTCCCCCTTTCGAGCCATCGTAGATCGTCCTGATCTTGTCTGACTCATCAATCCCCGCAAGGGGGCCCGGGCAAAGTTCCTCCGGTTTGCAGCGGCACCTCTCTGCCGCCTCCGACCGAGTGAAGGGCCCGTCCACCATGTCCAAGGCTCGTTCCTCGTAAAAGGTTGCCTCGATTTCACTGGCAAAGAGTTCAGCCGTTGGGTAGTTATCATGGGCCACCGGCGGGGGGGGGTCTTCCCCCAGCCAGGCTTCTCCCTTAAGCTCCTCCTTAGTCGGCCAAACTCCGGGGGAGGTCAAGGTAGGGTCCGAGACTCCCAAGGGGACCCCCTCTTTCAGTGTCAGGGGGAACTCCCAATCAGGGTCACCTGAAAGGGATGCCAAGTGCGAAACTAGGTCCAGGAGGAAGGGTTGCCCTGGGCATCGTTCATGGAGGTGCCTAGGTCCCAGGATAGCCCGCAGCTCATCGAGGTCGGCTTCCTGGAAGGGGTGTGTGGTGGCACCTGATGCCAGGGACATTCGGACCTTGTCAATCCAGGGCCGGGTAAGGGTCATGATCAGGGCGCCCAAAGTAGCCAAAGGGGAAATTCTCCGAAAGGGGGGGTTGAGCCTCCCCGGGGAAGGTTTCCCCCCCCCATCCCTCAGGGGGCGTGAGCGGAAACCCAATTGGACAATCGCAACTCGGTCAATGAGGCGTGGGACCCTGAAAGCGGGCAGGCATTCGGGGCGGTCCAGGACCTGGTCCCCATGTTCTTCCTTCCCCAGTTGTTCCGCATCTCCGGCCATCGGGGGCATGGGAGATGGGAAGTCTGGGTTCATTGTTCCACGAGGGCTTACGGTGTCTGCCTCAAGGTGGATGTGCCCGTGCTGGCGGGGCTTCGGGGCATTCTTGCCTCCGGGCTTTGGGCCCTGGTGTGATGAGGAGGGACCGCCTCCCTGATTGGGTCCCCGTTTTCCCCGGGGGGAAGGGCCCTCCGGGGGGTCCGACCCCCGCCCCTTAGGTGGTTCCTTAGGGTTTCCCGGGAATTGTGAGGGGATCCGGATGTGCCCCGGCGCTGCGAGTGACACAGCGATGGCTTTGGCCAGGCCTGCCATCATATCCCAAGGGTATCTGCTAAGAGTCGAGGACTCGTTGGTGCCCACATGTGACTGATGCGTGCACCGCATTTGATCCCAATCCTGAATTGGGAGATCCGTGGCTAGCGTAGTGGCCTTCTTGACCAGCTGGCCCAGGCGGCACTGGTCGAAGGAGATTGCTGTCAAGGAGTTTGCCTCCATCCAAAGCTGCCCCTCCTCCGTGATCCAGAAGGATGAGCATTCCTTGGCTTTGGGCAGCGAGCTGCTCACCACTGGGTCCTCCGGGTGCTCCAAGAAGGACTTTGGCCCTGGCAGAGAAACCGCCGCTCTTGAGGCCCTTGCCAGGCTGGTGATGTACATCTGCCTCAAAATGAGGATACTGTCATCATCAAGCTGAGTCTGGGCGGCCTGGTCCAGGTGTGGGAGGCCCCAAAGTCTCTCGAGTGCACCGGGGTGGGGGCCCCCGGTTTTGGTATGTGGCGCAGGATGGACCATGTCCTGCAGTTGGGTCCTCCTCCAATGAAGACCACTCGGCCCTGCTTTGCTGCCGTGCAGAGAGCTCCATATAGCTCGGGTTGGAGCATGTCGTGGTTCCCTTTTGGTCCCGATCGTAGGATGTCTACCGCCACCACCATGCTGGAAAGGTGTGGGTAGTTGGCATGAAGACAGCTGTCCAAGGAAGTTGGGTCTTCCTTGCCTGCATAGAGCAGGACAATAATGGGCCCACTGGATGGAACTTTGGGTGATGTGCCCTGTGTCCATCTCAGCCGCTGTACCAAACGCTCCGGGATGTTCTCCATCCACGGGAAGATGTCCCATCCCGGTGACGGCTCCGTGGGACTTGTCAGGGGGGTAGCTGAAAGGCGCTGGCCCCCTTCATTCAGCCCAACCGAGCTCTTATAAAAAACCACCGGGTCCTGCTTGATGATGTTGGGCGCCGGAAGTGGGATCGGCTGCCTCCTGGGCGTGTTCCTTGGCGTTGCGGTGTGCTGCCAGTTATCCGGCAATCGGGCCTGCTGGGCGCGGCCCCCCGTGTCAGGGCCCTTGGCACCTGCAGGGAACCGTCCCGTCCCTGCCGTTTCAGGGCCCTCGGCACCCGTGGCTCGGGGCTGAGGCGCCGCCGTTGTGCCAGCTGTGTGGTTGTTCTGACCCCAGCGAGGGTGTTGTGCACGCTGGTTCTGCCGTCCCCATCCTTGTTCCGCCGAGGATGGCCGCCACCTGGCCTGTCCCCCCCCTGTGTCAGGGCCCTCGGCACCTGCAGGAGGGGGCTCATGTGCCTGCTTGGGGCGTTTGCGCCCCCTCTCGCCCCCCCGGGCCTTATCAGGGCCCTCGGCACCTGAGGCCTCCCGGGGGGTCGGGGTCAGCGCCCCTAGTCAACCCGGGCAGTCCTGCGGGAGGTGGTCTCCCAGGCAGATGCGGCCCGTTGCCAGGATGAGGTTGCACTTGTGGGTGCGTCCGCAGTTGCCCGGGCAGCGCCCGCGCATCCAGTTGTTACAGAACTGGTTCCCTTTCGGATCGGTGGCCGCCTGCTTGTTACCGCCCCTGGACGCCTGATTGTTCGGCTGGGGGGGCTTACCTTTCCCTTTGCTCCCAGGCTTGCCCCTAGACTTCCCCTTGCCCTTGGACTTGTTCTTGCCCTTCTGGGGTGGTGCGTAGTCCATGGATGTCCTGGTTTGTGGGCGGCCCCTGGAAAAGGTCCTGATCTTCTCATAGACCTCACGTGTCCAAAACAATGTGTCCTGCCTGACCGACAGCATGGCCGCCTTGAGGGTGCTGCCCTCGTGCATCTTGCTCGTGAATCTTCCGCCATGCGTTGCGTTCGGCAATTGCCAGGACGTGGTCCTCTGGCGGGGGAAAACGGCCCCCGATGTCCTCC